CCCGATGCGGGGCTCGATCCCAGGACCCTGAGATCATGACCTGAGCCGAAGGCAGACGCTTAACCGACTGAGCCACCCAGGCGCCCCGGCCCTTGGTTTAAAACAAATGCTGACAGGTCAAGAAACTCGCTCAACTTTAAAGTTACTCCATCAGAGAACCCCAAATTTCAGAAGTTGCCTGGGTATTGGCCTCCACACCTGAGGTGCCCATTCCTCTGCTTCCGGGAGGACGGTGACCAAGCCCCCCCCCCCCCCCCCAGGCTCCACGGGGACCTGGAACCCCCCAACTCTGTCTCGGCTCCCCATCCCCTACCCTCCACCCCGACACCTGAGGCCCAGCTCCCCAACCCCCCAGGCTCTCAGCCCCATTTCTTGACACCAACCCGTCTCCTCGCTGCCCCTCATTTCTCCGGGCCCGCAGCCGCGCGACTCCTGGCCCTCGTACCAGTACCTAAGCGCACCCCAGATTCAGGGCTGGTCGGGCCCTCGCCCGGCCGGAGTTCTGCTCTGGATTCACCTGGTCCTCCACCGCGGAGGCCGGCCAGCAGGCACCGCGATAGCTACCCTGCGCGGCCCCAGCGGGGTCCTTCGGGCGTTCGACCGGGCAGCTCTGCTGGGGGTCCTTGCCGGGAGGCCGCGGACCTGGAAGGCCGCGGAGGCTGGGTGTGTGAGGCCCGCGGGGAGACGGCGCAGTGGGAGCGGCCCGGCCGAGGCGAGGCGAGGCGGCCTGCAGCCCGAGGGCCGGCCCTACCGGTGGCCCTCGTCTCTCCCCAGCGCTTACCCCGGGCCGCACGGGAGGACAGAGCCGTCTTGGGCGGGAGCAGCCGCTCCGAGCCGGGGCTCGGGCGCCCTCAGGCGGGAGGGAGGCCGGCGTTCCCGGGCGGCCCTGCGCGGGGGGCGGTGGCCGTCCGGCGGTGGGACGGACCTTGCCTTACTGTCCTCTCTTCCTTTTCTGTCTAGGCTAGTGCCTGGTACGTGGTTGGCGGCCAGTACTTGTCGGAGGTACGTGGAGGCCGAAGGACGTGTGCGCTCGATCGCGAGGGCCGAGGCCGCCCTTGAAAGTCTCGAGCTGCGAGCGACACGGAGACACGAGGGAGCACAGCTCATGTGGGGGTGATGACCCAGGGTTCTTGGCTGGGGTCCAGGTGTCCGTAGGCCGCGAGGGGAGCTAGTCGTAAGGGCCTTGAACGTGTCGCTAAGAAATTTGGGGTGCGGTGGGTTACCCAGGAGTCTGTTGAAGCAGTGCAGGTTGAGATGAGAACTGCGGGTATTCTTGGTGTGTAGTCTGAGTATGGAGCGGGGACAGCGTGGCAGGTTGAAGAAGGGTGGTAAATTTTTTTCTTGGGAAGAGTCACTGACTGCGAACAGTGAAAATAAGCCATAACTGTCATCAATGTAAGTATATATGTATTTTTAACTGACTCTGGTGCCAGATACACAGGTGTTGCACTCCTGGAATGTTGGAAGGCAGGTCGGTGTTTCTGGGAGCTTGTTTCCACCAGGTGTCTTTGGGAAAGTCCAGTCCTGCCTGGCTGGTGAAGGCACAGGTCCATTTCTGCCTTCACAGGATGAGAGTAAACTTAACCATGTGATACTGCCTAGACATCAGGTTTTAGTTTTATTTTCCAAGTACACCAGGTCCAATTTTGTTTTCTACCTTTTTTTTTAAGACTTTATTTATTTATTTATTTGAGAGAGAGAGAGAGAGAGAAACAGCATGAGAGGGGAGAGGGTCAGAGGGAGAAGCAGGCTCCTTGCTGAGCTGGGAGCCCAATGTGGGACTCGATCCCAGGACTCTGGATCATGACCTGAGCCGAATGCAGTCTCTTAACCAACTGAGCCACCCAGGCGCCCTCTACCTTTTTTTTTTTTTAAGATTTTATTTTTAAGTAATCTCTGTACCCAACAGGGGGCTCCAACTTAACAACCGTGAGATGGAGAATGGCATGCTCCACTGGCTGAGCCAGCCAGGCACCCCATTTTCTACCTTTCTCTTCACTAATACACCTTTGAACTAAAGGGACTTTGCCAATTTTTAGACCATGGTCATTAGTTCACCTGTCTTACACACACACACACACACACACACAGTGGAGAAGGCTTTAGTTCCATATTTTATAGTTGCTTTGACTATCCTCAGCAACAAGCCTACATAATGAAAGTAAGGGCAGATGTGGTTTTAGGAGGAGACTCAATAAATAACAGCCTTTTTCTGAACTTGGGCTCAGAACCAACAGAAATAGAGGAATGGCAGGCAGGCAGAGACCAAATATCAGCTTACCTGATACTGATAGAGTTGAAGGAGAACATAATTTAGAGTGAAAACCAAATTCACCTGCCTTCTAATTCTGTGCTGCCAGAGTTCAATGCCAGGTCTCTTAAAAGCTTTAAAGCAACAGCAACAACAAAAAGAATCTAAATCGTTAACGGCATACAAAATGATCGCAGTATTGCCCCATATTCACTGAATTTAAAAAGCGGACCACCCCTAGCTCGTAGATTTTGTCCCTAGAAACCTGTCAAAAGACTCTGATACTCGGTGGTATGTGAGGGAAGGTGAATAGACTGAAAAGTCTTGATTCAATGTCACTGGGACTCAAGTAGTTCTTTTTTTTTTTTTAAAGATTTTATTTATTTATTTGAGAGAGAGAGCATGAGAGGGGTGAGGGTCAGAGGGAGAAGCAGACTCCCTGCTGAGCAGGGAGCCCTATGCGGGACTCAATCCCGGGACTCCAGGATCATGACCTGAGCCGAAGGCAGTCGCTTAACCAACTGAGCCACCCAGGCGCCCGGGACTCAAGTAGTTCTATACCAGTTATTCAGAGTGTCCTAACTTGTGAGTCTAAACTCAGTTGGGAGAATCACCCATTATGAGGTTAATTATGACCTGTGTTCATTACATCCTGAGGGGCATCTACCTGTGTCTAGTCTTGTCTTTAACCGGTGGTATTTAAGACGATGCCATCTTCTTACAGTGTTAATTTACAGTAGTGGCAGCCCCAAACCAGGTCTTTGAGATGCCTTTCTTTTTTATCCAGCATATTCAAATTTCTTAATACCATTTCTCTTTTGGGTCCTTTGTTTCTGCATCCCCAGGCTGCATTGAGAGTGGGCTCTTAGGACCTAGCTTACCCAGCCCCACTGTGAGCAGCCCTCAGTTGGCCACTGCCATCTGCTGTTGAGTTGGTCAGGCCCAGGACACTTGGCTCCTGTGTGTGGAGGGCAGGAGGGTGGTCCTTTACCCCATGAGTTTCAGTTGAGAATCACTCTGGTAGGTTTTTTTTTTTTTTAACCTGAAGCTGATGTTCTTGCTTCTAAAGTTTGTTGCTTCAGGGACCCAGTGAGAATTGAGACCTCTGCCATTCCTCAAGATACTGTCTTCAGGTTCTGGGTGGGTCACATGGGGAGTAGCATTTCTTTTAGACACTTCTTTTTTGGCATTTTTTTTCCCCTGTGTTCCCCTACTCCTTTCCAGAAGGCTCATTGAATTTCTGGCATTTTTATTGCTGGAGAAAAGGAAGACCTTGGAGCCAGCTCTTTGCTAGGCTACAGAAAGTGGGGAAGGAACCAGGGCCATGCCCTGGAGATTTGTCTCTCAGTTGTTTTCCAAGATGTCAACTTTCTTTTAAGAAAATCTCTCTTTAGGGCGCCTGGGTGGCTCAGATGGTTAAGCGTCTGCCTTCGGCTCAGGTATGATCGCGCATCGGGTTCCCTGCTCAGTGCAGAGCCTGCTTCTCCCTCTCCCTCTGCCACTCCCTCTGCTTGTGCTCTTCTGTCTATCTCTCTGTCAAATAAATAAATAAAATCTTAAAAAAAAAA